CTTTCTCACTGGGTGGCATGTGGGTGAGGCTTCAATAACCCCAACGCCATTTCAGCCTAATTCTCAGAATATATTTGATATCAAATGGCACCCAACCTTGCCGAGATTTGCCACAGCAAGTACGGTAGGCCAGAGCCAAGTGTCCCGGGGAACCAGGTCTGTGGTCCGTGTTTTTGAGCCACTGAAGTGGAAATCTCAGACAATTGAGTTTGAGTGTCCTGCGCTGGATATCAATGATATCACCTTCTGCCCAATGAACTCATATTATGTGACCGCCAGTTGCACTAATGGCGTAACATATGTTTGGGACTATCGCAAACGAGACAAAGTCCTGCTAGAGCTTCCTCATGGTGAACCTCTTAATCAATTAGATGAACTACTTGAGAGGGAGCAGGATGATGTAGGTGTTAGAATGGCCTTGTGGGGGGACGAAATCAACCAATTCTACACAGGGGCCTCAGATGGTATTGTTAAGCAATGGAATATCTTGCTATCTCAAGAGGATGCCCTTACCAAGGACATCTTTGGAATTGAAGAGGAGATAATGTGCGGTGCATTTTCAAATGATAAGTCAAATCTTTTGCTTGGAGACGCAGGCGGGGGTATCCATATCCTCTCTACTTCAACCTCTTCGCCTCATGAGGGCAGAGACCCAAATGAAGATGAACGAAAAATGCAATTTAGGCACGCAGCTCAGCCACCCTGCGATGATCACGCATCAGATTCAGAGTCCGGGCTTGTAGCGGCGCGAAAGCTACTGAATTCTGGGAAGCTCAAAAGACACCCTATTTTTGGAGTGGGTCAAGGTCCTCATTATGATGGACCTTTTGCAGGGTGGGCTCGCCCAGGGAACCCAGATCAACCTCATCTTGCCAGTCTCAAACCGGATGTAAAGATGCGACAGCTCGATGGGCCGGCCCCTAAGGATCGCATTGGCTTGGACGAAGAATCACGGCAACTTGTGGAGGCTCATATTCAACTTGCTCGGATTCGCAACCAGCGGCGAAATGAATATAAAAGGAAACGGACTGTTGATGTCATTGATCTGTGCAGTGATGATGAAGATAATCAGGGTCCTGAAAGACGAGCGCAAAGTCAGCACATCTACATTGGAGACTTCATTGACATTGCCAATCTTCAATGTGAGGTCATAGACCTAACAGGTGACACTGATACCGATTCAGAAGAGAATCCAACTACTGCGAGAGTTAGGTCACCTTGCTCTGAGTCCCCTAAAATGGGCTCTTTGCTTGAAAAGCTAGAAGCAGGTCTTGAAGAGGATTTTTGGTGGCCAGACAGCGGCCAGGTCGATCCTAATTTTCCACAAGAAGCATAAGCTGGGCACGATCAAGGAGCTATGGAGCAGGTCATCACCCTCTTGAGGACTATTCTATCTATATCATCTTCACTTGTTGTGCATCTCATATTTTCATTCACAATGATATGAGTATTGATTTGTGGCTTTTATGAGTTGGGAATGAATGGCATGCTGAACCTTTTAAATTAATTCATATCATGGTCTAGAATATGGTACGTTTATAGTAATGATATTAATATGATAGAAGTCAGGAGATCCCATAGGTAGATGTCAGGTCTCAGGATTACGGGGTTGTTTTGCCCTATTAGGTGATAGCTAAATTACTAGGACTATGATGGAAATACATGAGGAGTTCTTTTATCAAATCTTGACGCCTTAAATTAGACTGTCTTTCAAAGCTGGTTCCAGATGTGAGCTCATCATAGCCCAGTTTGATTGCTTTGCTATAGCCTATGAAGTATTTAGAGAGTATCTAGATCCTAGGCACCATTAGAAAGGTACTTTACCTCTCTAGTGCCTATGTAATAATATCAATATCTTGCCAGTCGTCCAATCAGCAGTATTAGCGTTGCGGCACCGCCACAGTGACCTGGTGGCTAGGTGGCCATAACTATTTATATGTGAGATCATACCCTACTGCTGGAACCATAGTGAACAGCATTGCCATCTCCAAATTTCTGTCCCTTCTTTTTTATCTGCTCTCACGAGTCTGATACAAGAAACCCGTTTGATCCTTTCGCAATCGACGTACTTGGATATATTGTTGTTGACCGTCCCTAAGACCGAGTCGCTCCCCTCATCTCTTTCGTCTCCATGTCATTTGCCCCGCCTCCTGGACCTCCGCCGCCTTCCGTTCCAGAAGGATGGAAGGCTCAATATGACGACCGCTACAAGCAATGGTGAGTTCCCTCACGGCTTCCATCTTGAACTTGCTGTCAATCCCTTGGATCTAATTCACCCTACTCAAGGTTCTTTGTGAACCTGCACACGGGCAAATCCCAATGGGAACGTCCTGAGGCTCCAGCGCAGAAAGAAGAGCAGCATGCTCCGCCAAGCGGGCCGCCACCGTCATACGATGATTCTGGTCCTGCAAACTCGGCTGTTCAGGCTGCTGCAACTGATGACAAGAAGACCCTGGGGTCGAACAATCCCTACAACCATGCGGAACCCGGCCATGATGACACCCTGGAGAGAGATGCTCGGCTCGCTGCTCAGCTACAGGCAGAAGAAGATGCTCGAGCTCAAAGCAGAAGCCCTGCGCATCCCGGCACGGCGGCAGACTACTACAGCGAAAGCTCCAGGCCGCTGTCATCGACGGGTCATCAGCCGTCACAGGGTCCTTCTCCAGCCTCTGACCAGAAGCGCAGCAGAGGCTTTTTGAGCAAGTTGATGGGCAAAAGCTCGAGCAGCAGTAGTAGCTCCCACTATGGAAGACCGCCTGTTGCTCAGCAGCAACCTTACGGGTACCAGCAAGGAGGCTACTATGGAGGTGGCTACCCCCCGCAACCGCAGCCCGCAGGCTATGGATATCCTCAGTACCCGCCACAGGGTGGCCACTATCCTGCAGCGCTGCCACCGCGGCGGAGCGGCGGCGGAATGGGCACTGCAGGCGCTGCCGCTTTGGGCGTGGGAGGTGGTTTGCTCGGCGGTGCTCTGCTCGCAGAAGCATTCGATGACCATGGGGACACGATCGTCAATAACTATGGTGATGATTACGGTGGTGACTATGGTGGCGGCGATGACTTTGGCGGTGACTTTTGAGTTTGCTGAAATGTGCGCCGCTTTGTTTGCCCTTGTCTTCACCTGCCTTGGTTTCAGTTTCTAAGTTGATGGGACACGAGAGGGCGGGCTTAATTGTCCGTTCTCGCCTGCTGCGTCTGTCGCAGATGCTCTAAGCGTATCAATAGATGCGCATGTACACAGACTTGCTTATGTTCGCTCCCACGACGATGTGATGTTTATGATGATCATGTAAATAATATTCTTGCTTGTGTTCTATTACTTACTTTTTATGCCCCCATACCGGTTGTCTGAGATCCATATGTAGTCGGTAATAGAGTCCATTCGACTGATATCATAGGAAATATCTCTGCCAGTAGCTGGCTAAGACGAAGCCAATGAAATAGCCTGTCAACCTCGTCTGCGCGTAGTACCTCCAGTTTCACGACCGGTTGCGGCTCCCCGGGAGGCTCCAGAATCCGTCTCAGCGGTTTGCCTTGGGGTGGCACCGGCCATCCAGCCGGCGAGATCGAAATTCCCAGGCGCGCCCCCACCAGCCATAGCATTTCGCGTAGCACCAGAAATCGGAGAGGAGCGTGATTGCTTCTCGAATTCGGCACGCATTTCCGGGTCCACTGGCAAATAAGTTAGCAAGCAGGCCAGGTGTGTATAGGCAGGAACTAATAGTAGCAAAGCGACCTACTATTCTCCATAAGTTTCGGCATTCCGAATGTGAACCCCAGTGCTACCAAAGCCAGCAAGATCATAGGGTTTTTGAGGAGCGAAAGAGGCGAAACTGGCACGACGCATCTTGTCAGCATCCACATCATTTGGAGCGCCCAAAGGTCAAAGCATTCTCCGCCACTGCAGTAAGCGGACTGGAATTCATCTCACATCTAGCTCTTTCTTCATAGAATCCTCTTCTAGCCAAGACCTTAGCTTCCACGGTTACATCTGCGGCTTTGGCGCCGTTGCCAGCAGTCGCATCGACAACGAACTTCTCCGGGCCCCGATTGTCCCACGGGTTTCCCCGGTAAGTCTCCCACACGCCCAGGACAGTCCCATCAGCAGAAATATCCACTCGATACGGGGCAAATATATACTCGGCCGATCGGATATCGAGCAGGTAGGACTCCGGTTCTGTCGCCTTGAGGTTCCGGAAGATGAAAGAAGCCGAGCGGGTGAGCGGGGCCGTCAAGGGATGAGGCAGGTGACTGTTGGTATCTTCCCTATCCTCCGGTGACGGTAATGAGGTCAAGGTCGCGTGTGTCCCAGCTGGGAGGGCGTTAGGATTGGGTAGCAGATTCGAAGGAGGAATGGTGATTGTGAGGGACGACGACAATACAGTTGTGAAGGTGGCCGCAACGAAAAGGAGAAGGGCGGAAAGAGGCGATCTGAGGAAGAACATGATTGAAAGGGAGGGAGGCGCTGAGCCTAGAGCAGAATTGGAAATGACAGCAGCGTCCTCGCACAATTTTTTGAGAATCTCGTAGGCGGCTGGGCGAAGAAGGGATACCGTTTGAATGGAGCACAGCTGCATAATGTCAAAGGTCGTGGTGATGTGAGTGAGTGCCAAGCTTTTCGGTCATTCGTCTATTTTCTGCACCAACCTACTGCATAGCGACAATGCTACTTATGACATACAAGTCTCCATTCCAACTAGGCGCGTTATCTCCCTAATGAAGCGGTTGTAGACCTATCTCGAAGACAATTCCCGTCTCGCAAATGGAATCTCGACACGAAACGCAAGATATCGACACCACCCGGGCACGAAGAACGATATTTGAAGGCTACCAGGGACTGAAAGCAAGATACAGAAAATATGGCATATGCACTATCTGCAAGGCCAGACACCATTCAAACATATGTACATTGCTCTAAGAGATAGGCTATACTACACCACGAGCACAGCCAACTTGAAGTGCCGGTATAATTCCATACATGAAGATAAGTCAACCCACTCCTACAGCTTAGCCTTGGGAGCAGATTGTTCTTCCAGAGCCTGCGCATAAAGCTGGTCCAGGAGCTGGCGATACTGCTTCGCGGTAGGAGGACGCTTCAGTTTGAGACTAGACAGAAAACCAGTGTTAGTATCTGAAAGCAATGGCAATACTGCACGGAAAGAAGACGGCTACTTACGTTGGTGTCAGCAGGTTATTCTCAACTGAGAAAGGCTCAATGAGCAAGGCACAGTTCTTGACCCTTTCGTAACCCGCAAGCTTGTGCTTCTTGGCGACCTTCTCGAGGTCCCTCAGCACAGCCTTGCGGACCTTGTCATCACTCAGAACCGATTTCAGTCCCTCGATGTCTGTAGCGTCGATTGTCCGACCGAGAACTTTGCTAGCAAACGGAGCGAATGCATCTGGCTGGACACCGAAAATGCCAACCAGGAATGTTTGAACGCTGTCGCCATGAACGTAGCCTTGAGCAAAGTAACCAAGCTCGGACAGGTAGACACCTTCAAGCCGTTCAGGAGAGATGTACTCTCCCTGGGCGAGCTTGAGGACATTCTTCCGGCGGTCGATGATGATAATGCGACCCATTTCATCAATTGTGCAGACATCCCCAGTGCGGAACCAACCATCCTCGGTCATCGCTTTGCTTGTCTCCTCCGGGTTCTTGAAGTATTCCCTGAAGATATTTGTACCGCGCAGAAGTAACTCACCCCGTGGGAAAGGCTTGTCATCGACCGAGTATTCCATGTCAGGCAGAGACATTAGACAGGCTTCGGTGCACGGAGCGAGGCGCCCACAGTTGCCGGCGGTAAGATCCTTTGCAGACTGCGAGCTTGCGATGGCGTACGTCTCGGTCAAACCGTAACCCTGGATGAAGTCGACTCCAAGGGCAACTCTCAGGAAGTTGTGCAAGGAGGGATCCAGGGGCGCCGAGCCAGTAACCATGAATCTACACCGTTCCAATCCAATGGCCGCAGCGACCTTCTTGGCCCAGATTCGGTCGTATAGAGCATGCTTCACGGTGGCTTTGCTAGGGTCGGGATTCTTCAGATTGGCAGTTTTGGCGGCAACAATGTGTCTTGACAGAGCACCCTTGAAGCCGGGTTGTTCTACGGTGGCACCACGAATGACGTTGCCAAAGCGACTGTAAAGACGCGGGACAGACATGAATGCCGTAGGTTTCAACACCTTGATATCGTCAACCAGTTCAACGATGTTACCGTGGAAGTAGCCGATACGCGCACCCGCCCAGAAAGCGGTATGCTCCGCCAAACGGGCATAGATATGGGCCAACGGGAGATAAGACAAACTCGTGTCACCTGGGGCCTGCTGAATGTTGATGAGAGCGGCAGAGGCCGCAGACACGGCATTCTCATGGGTCAAAACCACACCCTTTGGAGGACCGGTAGTGCCGGAGGTATAGTTGATAGTGACGATGTCCGAAGGAGACGGAGGCACGCACGGACGATTCGAAGCGGTGCCCAGTGCCTCAACCTGATCCATGGTATAGATTGCGACATCCAGACCGGCAGCGGTGGATTCCAGGAGCGCACGCTTTGAGTGGCCGGCGGGTTCGCCAGCATCCAGAGGGTCCAGACACACGATGATCTTAAGATTGGGCAAAGAGGGCTTGAGCTTGAGCAGAGTGGGAATATGCGGCAAGGAAGTGACAACACAGTTCAGTTCAGCATGGTTGATAATATATTCGGTGGCATCCGAGGCGAGGACATCATAGATCGAGACCGAGTAGAGGGACTGGGACATGCATGCCAGATCTGCGATGACAGACTTCAGTCAGCGGCCAGGATCAATATTGAGTAAGCAGGCAAAGGAGTACCCCGTACCAGTTATCTGCCATTCTGGCCGATTTTGACACCACAATCCAATCCCGTATGGTCCCGAGCGTCCGCAGCCATGCTTGTCGTGCAGTTCCACCAAGCCGGCACCAAACGCGGCTCTTCGCTTTCGAACGGTCTCATAGTCCAGCCACTGGTAAGGGCCATAGGTCTTTGTGACCGGGTCGTAAGGACGCCATCCGAGGCAATGGGCTTTTGGGGCTCGATTCGCGGTCGACTCGAAGACATCATGTGCCGTGAGAATCTAGACAGACAGGATCAAGATTAGTCGTGAGGTTCCATGTTATGCCGCAGCAGCTCGGTGAGACACTGAGGATGTGTGTCTTCGGCGCATACCTTGGGGTCCAAGGTCCTTAAAAGCTCATTCTGGAGATTCCAAGCACGGTAGACTTTGCTCCGTCCGGGTTGCTCGGTACCAGGAATGGCAACCGAATATGGAGTGCCCTTGGGAGGTTCTTGTCTCAATTCCTCGGCACGAGCGAGGTGTGTTGGTTGCTGGGAGAAAAACATGGCGGCAACAATGGAGGATCTATCTCTGTTTGAGTTGGTGAGTCCAAGAGCATCCAGAAGACATAAAGTCGTTCCAAGGCTAAGGGAGGGAGGGTAGAGCCTACAGCGTTCAATAGCACAAGTGGGAAGTCTCGACGACGACTGTAAAAGAGGAAATTTACAAGTGGAAAAAGAAAAGAAGGCTTAGGTCGTCCAGAAATAGAAAACGAGCAATCTATACAAATATGAAAGAGAAAGCGAAGTGATCGGGCAAGGACAGACAGTATGGAGTCAAAAAAGGTGAAAGGGGGAGTGGGGGAAGCTGGCTGGACTCCTTATGAATTCAAAACAACACCCTCATGCCTGACTGGTCTTGTTCTTCCTTTCTCTTGCCTGTCCGATGGACAGAGAAATAAATATCTGGGGGTGCCTGACTCCCCTAGAACAGGGAAAGCCCGTCAAATCACACCCCTCGGGATGGAGTAGTTTACCTTAGTTAGGTAGGACTCCAGGTTGGGGACTGGAGCATTGCCGAGCAGCTGAATGGTCAGGCCAAGCGTCGCAGTCATAGCCGACCATTCATCCTCGTGGAAACTTACCTCGGCTGTTTTGCTTTTCACGCTCTCTTCAGGAATCGAGATAACTCCGAACCTATCAGATCCTATCCGTCCCTACCCTGCAACTCCACTCTCATTATTGATGCAATTCCATCACTTTAAACATCAAAGAAAACTACTCAAATAATAAAGGCGGAGAAGTTCTTCTATTTCCAGTTTAGACCGTTCGATATCCCGGAGATCCTAACGCAAGATGGCGTCGGTCCGAAATTGTCCCCCACACAGTAAAGTCGCAGACAGCCTAGGTAAATAAGGTATCTGGGGGAGATTCCAATGATTTGACTGGACATACTCCGTACGCCATTATTCAGATCAGCGAGTGATGTGAGACTGCGACTTGTGCGCTTAGATGAACTGAGTCCCTACTACTTTCACGAGTACTATTCTATTGTATTTGTAGAGCAGTTAGGCACCCAGAGTGACCACGTACTGTGTTGTAAGGTACCTACCTACAGTGTCAGCTGCAAGGGATGATCATTGGAGAAAGCTAATTGTGGTATGTAGCACGTGGAAAGAGTTTCATGTGACAGTGCAGTGCAGTGCAGCGCACTCACGCAGCATCGTTGTCCACCTAGGGATGATCAGATATTATTGACTGTTGAGCTAATAAATATCATGACTGAATCAAACATAATATGTTTGGGGCATGATTACAGCTAAATATGAGCTAATATTGACCTTGAATTTTTGGGTCTGATGGCACATGAATTATTCATTGAATAACTGCAGAATCAGATTACAACCATGATAAGAGACGAGTCACCGAACTCCATGCCAAATGCTGAACCCTAAGAGAGAATATATCTACATGCTATATACAAAACAAAACTGTGAGAGACACAGGGGTATCATCCCTATTCCACAGGTGCATTCATCCTTTCTCGTCACCAGTCCACAAATAGTCTGATAGCCGAACCACCATACCGACGAACGTAGATGTTGTAACCGTCCATATTTCATTTTCTGTACATTAGTTACTTCTCCTGTGACCGCCCGACGCATGTGGCACAGTGGAATCGGCCGAGAAGTCGCGCCATGTTTCTATCCCAGGATCGCGCTGCCCAGCTTCTTATACCACTTGGTGGGCGTGACCGTCTCCCACATCTCGTTTTCCAAAGCGAGGCGGCCAGTATCGATATCTGCTTCGATGGGACGCACAAACGCTGGTCGGAAGATGATCTTGTGGCCCAAGTAGAGCACAACGAAAAGGATCAAACTGAGGTAGGCGACAAAGAAGTCGGTCACACTGAACGTCGGAATCCAGGCAGTGAATCCTTGTGTGAGGATAATCAGAATGTTGAAGAACAAGCCATAGTAGGCATACCATGGCTGCCACAATGCCTTGTACGGAAGGAGGTCACGAGAAATGTTGCGAGCCTCTAAAGCCCGCATGAACGCAATATGACAAGCATTTAATGATGCCCATGTAATGAAGCCTGCCACACCGGCGATATTCAGGAACCAGTTGAATACAGTGCTACCAGCGTTGGAAACATTCATGAATCCAAGCAGGCCAAAAGCCGAGGTGAATGCAACACTGTAGTAGGGAACACCTTTCTTGCTAGTCCTCTTGAAGCAACGTGGCGCGAACCCTTCCTGTGCCAGACCAATCAAGATACGGCTGCCACTATAGACATTTGAGTTCGCAGCGGAAAGAACCACAGTCAGCAGGACCGCATTGATAATATGCGGGAGAACCTTCACACCCGCTAGCCTAGCAGCAATGACAAAGGGTGAGGAGTTGGCGTCATTTCCACCCGTGAGAAGGTTCTCATTAGTGTACGGTACTAGCAGACCGATGAAGAAGATGGTTAGGACAAAAAAGAACAGGATCCGAAAGAATGTCTTGCGGATGGCCGAAGGAACAGTCTTGCGGGGGTTTTCTGTTTCACCAGCAGCAATGCCAACAAGCTCAGTCCCCTGGTATGAGAATCCAGCCTGGATCAGGACAGCCCAGAAGCCGACAAATTTCGCGGTAGAATCGGGGTGAACGCCTTCGTAAGGGGAAAAGGGCCCAGGGTTCACCCAGTACCGGAAACCAAGATAGCCACGGTCACCAGCACCTGCGTCAATGCAAATAGCGAAGATCATGAAGCCCACGACAGTGATAACTTTGATGCTTGAGAACCAGAATTCCAACTCGCCATAGAAATTGACGGGCAAGAAGTTGAAAAGAGTGATCATCACCCAGAACACCGCAATGAAGATGGCGATCTGGATGTCAGAGTTCCAGAATTGGATGATCAGACCCGTTGCGGTCAGCTCAAGAGCATAGGTAATGGCCCAGGAAAACCAATAGATCCAGCCCATGGCGAAACCCAGACTCGGGTCGATCAACCGCGCGGCATAGGACGTGAACGCTCCTGGGATTGGAATATATGTAGCGATCTCTCCCAAGGAGGTCATGACCGAGTAGACGATGGTGCCAACGAAGATATAGGCAATGAGAGCACCCACGGGGCCTGCATGTGCGATAGCGGTACCGCTACTGATGAAAAGACCTGTGCCAATAGTACCACCTACCAGAGTGGGTTAGCACAGTGCATAATACTTCCGAGTCGAAGTTCAAATTGAAGCATGACTCACCAATGGCAATCATCTGTAGATGCCTGCTCTTCAACTTCCGCTTGAGATCGGGCAGTGGATTCGATTGACGGCTAGCTCCATGCTTCTCACAATCCAGATCGTCCGAGTTAGGGGGGGGACTGTTGTCGTAGACCTGGACAGACTCATCGTTTAACATTTTGCCCTTGTCCTCTGCGACCTTTGGCGCAGCGGTGACCTCAAGCTCATTGAAGGCCATCTGTCCAGCATTCAGCGCTGAAGATTGAAACAGGACGGATTGGAGTACGGATGCGCACTAGAGGGCTGGTGGGGATTCAAGGTATTAAAAAGAAAGAAAAAGAAGAGGAGAAAAAATGGGGGTGGAAGGAGGGAAGCGCGCCGTCCAACAGAGGCTCCACTAGAGGTTGAGCGAGTCGAGTCCACTTGATAGATAAGTACCGCCGATTAACGGAACAAGACAAGGCCTTTTTGTCTCCTATTCTGCGCTGCTGACTGAATGGACTCAAGACGAGGTTCAAAGAATGGACAAGGAAAAGACTTTGCGCTATGCTTTTATTGCAAATGCACAAGCTCTTCAAAGACAGAAAAGAAAAAGATTGACACCTACAATGAGGTAAAGACACAGCCAATGAAGAACGAGACAGATAAATCAGTATGTACAATGTACAGGAAGATGTTATGTAAAGAGAACAGTAGTAGACAGAAACTGGCAAGAGTGGGCTTTAATAATGGAGATTATGGAGTCATTCTATCCGCGAGCGGGAGGCCAATGTAACGTTTATTGGTGACTCGGAGGAAGATTAGTACTGAGAATAGATAATGATTATCATTATTATTATCATCACTGGACGACTATCTACTATAAGGAAAACCTTTTCCTACCACTTCATACTTTTGGATGCGTGCTACAGCCCTCCTCCGTCTCCGTCCTCCTATAGTAAGACTTGAATCCATGAATGGTAGAAAGTACGGCCCTCAGGATGGCAAATGTATTTCCCAACATCGATCATTTTCTCAGGGCTTTCTAATATCTATCCAGATATCCAGTATTCAAGAGTTGCCATCCAGGGATGTGGAGCGCTGCTGGGAGTACTGGCTGATGGGCGGAGAAAGAAGAAATTTTTTTTTTCTCGTAAGATGACTCGATGCCAATGATTTAAGCGCGGTGGCGGAAAGTTGAAGAAGCTTGGCTTGGAAATCGGAAATCGGAAATTGGAAACTGGGAATGAGTTGCCGAGAGCGAGAACTTCCTAACAACTAGTCTAAATATTATCAAGATGACAGATAAGTGCAACTACACATACTGACAGAAATTCTCTTGGTTGCTGTTAGACTGTCCTCTTTTGGGGTTTTAAGCTTCATCGTAAGTTTGCGACACAACCTTCGTATATGGGGTTGGTGCACACGAGCATCTATGCTCATGTCGGCAGCCTCCGAGGCCCGGATTGCTGGCCACCTGGTTCTAAGGAACTGTCAAAATAAAACACTCAGGGTACAGAAGCCTAGATTAAATCCTTTGGCCTCTAGCAAAATAATTTTAAAGGGTGTTGGGAAAGCCTGGGATAATTGGGATCTAAACTCTATCCTAAACCAAACCTTGAGAAGACGGGCAAACTGAGGCATGGCTAAACCTTCTAGAATGTTTCCTTTCCCGTGATCCATTGAGTCATCTGCCAGTCTCGTCCTCTTGTCTTATACAACGCAGAATCATGCTTCATACTTCATTGGAAGTAGAGTCAAGATAGGACTCAGGTCACCGGCCACAATTGACATTATCCGGCAATTCACTAGACTTTTGAAAATTGCAGTGGGTGCCCCTCCAATGTTTACTGTCAACCG